ATTCCACTAAAAACTGGCTTTTAAATACCAGTCGCTTACTGTAGAACCCCGCTGTGAACGGTTAATTTTTACCTCTTCTTGTGGTTTTGTGCTTAAAGGAAACTGAATTTGCTTTATTGCAATCAAAGTATGAAGAATTGTGGTAGATTTTTCCTGCTGTTTATTCTTGATGCAAGAAGATTTGATTTTCATAGGAAACCCGTTGTAATGCGAATAATGTAATGCCAGCCCCCAACTTTTTGTGCCTAACGTTGGATAAACGATCAGATTCGCTGACTTTTTGGTACAACAAGTGAGTATTTTTCGATTAAAATTTCAGTTTTTTCTGTGAGCTTTCCACCGAGACAAATAGGATTTTGTTGCCTCTTAAGTTAAAATTATTTCCAACTTTGAGAGCATTTTCGGAATTGTAAATAAATCATTCTAGAAACCATTTCAAATGACTTTATGCTTATTTGGGTGAAATTACACTAAAAACCGGTTGCTAAAAGGAGTCACTAAACTCGCCGCAAATGTGTTTCTCTTAATATTATACCTATTTGTAGTTTTGTCCTTCAAGGAAAATTGATTTGCTGTATTGCTCGCTTAACTCATACACTCCGCGGACATTATCAAACTACTGAGCTTTGATTCCCAGTGGTCTATTGTTCACAATTCAGTCCCGCATCCCGGCGAAAATGGCTTCCGCCTTAAAATATTTCAACTGTTGTTTCAAAATGTCTAATAGCTTAGCTTCTACGCGAAATTCAACAAAATTAATCAGAGAAAAATTGTAGAATAAAGGATGCACTTTAAGGTAATTCAGTTTTGATTAACGTAAAGCCTAACAAATTGTTGAGATTTTCGGTCAAAGTCTAAGATGAAGTTAGACAGACAGAAAAAAATCAAACACAAGTTTTCTTAAATTAAAGATATGGAACGGTACACAGAATATATTTTCATGATTAGTAGATTAATAAGAAATAACTAGAAAAAAACGTACAACACACATTACACTGCGTGAAAGTCGTAAAAACAGTCATTGCTAAGCACACACAGGAACGTGTACTTTTTTGCTTTCATGTTGCTAAATTTTTTCTAAACACTAGCAGTGTCAATTTCTTCTCCTTTCGCGTTCTTGTCAAATGCTTATGATTTGGTGACTCCTTCATTAAAACAAACACGTTTGAAATGGAAAGGTCCATCAACGGCGAGATTTCCTGGCACAGCAATAAGCTGTTCTCATCTGGTCTGCTCTGTCCACTGCAGCCATGTTCTCATTATAAATTAGAACGGGAAGTGGGCATGGTATCTTCTTGAGACTGCCATCCTTCTGCTTTCTTTTCACCAAAGTTTTTGATGAATTCGGGTTTGTGTTTGATGAGAGCAGCCTTACAGGCTTTCTTCCCTTCTTTTCCTGCCAAACCGTTGCAGTTATTCCATTTTTTTGCCATGTTTTGGCCTCCCCTTGTTGTAGCCTTAGCCCCGACTTTCTTCCCCTCGTCACACGCATCTGGTTTGGCAGTTACTTCACAGAACTTTTCACTGTGCCGCATCCATAGATCCCATTTGCGAGAAGGTTTTCGTGCAGGACGACACTATTAAAATAGTTGTCGAAGAAAACATGGTGATTTTTGCCACAATGTTGGTTGTCAAACGTCCGACAACCTTTCTTCCAAGTTCTTTCTCTCTGCCATGATTTCCTCCGGGCTTGCCAACGTAAACTTGAAACTCGCATACATAGCCATTTTTACTGTCTGCCCGCTCCCAAACTGTTATGCCATATTTGGTTGGTTTTGCTGGCATGTATTGCCTGAAAGATAATGTCCCACTTTATCATGGCTTCGTCAACAGCATTTTCTAGGTTTGGGTTGTAGGCTTCCAGACATCGTTTGTTGACAATCTCCAAAATTGGCCTAATCAAATGGAGCTTGTCCCTGTTTGCGTCTTACCGACATCTTCTGCAAATTCTTGGATGTAAACATCGCAGAGCTTCTCTGTCCGTCGGCTGAAACATCCTTGTCTGACGTTTCCTGGCTTTCCCCAGAGCTGGAATATTCATCAATAGAAAGATCACTTTCCTCTGCCCTTCTCTTTAAATTTTCGAAGTTAATTTCTTCCGGCAAAAACCCAACAAATTCATTTTCTTCGTCGCTACTCGTACTAAAATTATCACATGCGGCCATTTTGCATCGGACGATAAACAAATTAAACCTCTGAATGTTCAACCGTTGTTTTCTCCCGATTTCAGACCGTGACCTATCCAATCATTTCACACCATTTGAATCTATATTGTTCAAGCTACAATATTGTATTGTCTAAATAACCAATTAGAGAGAGAAATGACTGATTTTAGCCAATCAGAACTCATGTTGCCGTAGTGTTACGGTAGATTGTGCCTGCATCATTTTCAGAATTGTAAATGAATCATTCTAGAAACCTTTTCAAATGACTTCATGCTTATTTGGGTGAAATTACACTAAAAACCGGTTGCTAAAAGGAGTCGCTAGACCCGCTACGAACTTGTTTCTCTGAATTGTTTACCTCTTGCGTAGTTTTGTGCTTAAAAGAATATGGATTGGCTGTATATCGATTTCTTTAAAACGTGCTTTCATTAACCATGGAATAACATCTTCATTATTCTTTTTGTTCTTCATCTAGATCAAAGATCGTTTCAAGCAATAATTATGTAGCCTGCGCGCAGACTGGGTCTGTCTATAATTATGACGCAGACGTGGTTCTCGGACCTTCTAAACGAAATTTTTGGCATTTATGCTGGGGTTAAATCGAACAAAGAAACAAGAAAAACCATGACTGTGGAGAAACGGACTAAAGTTATATAGATTAGATGTTGTCCGTAAATTGTATTTTGTTAATTTGTTGTTAGAGTAAAATTCCTTTCTGATGCAAGAAACTTTCGCTGTTTTTTATCTTTCTATTTATTTACTGCTTTGTTCTTGCAGTGTTTCAAAAGCTAATTGTGATGAAGATGTGATATGTGGATCTCAAATGTATAGAACTGCGTAATAACTCTATAACTCTTTGGAGTTTAGAAGAGGAGTCATTAATTCTTTTATGAATCAATAGATTATTTAGGAATTTTGATTCTTAAGAAATTTTTAGATGATATATATCTAAACGAGCCCCATGGACAAATAACGGCTAGCAGGATTTTATTGTTGGAAAACTTTAATGTTTGATTCAAAATTAACAGAGGAACTTTAAAGGTGGCCCCAAATTATATCTTAAAACAGCATCACAAGTAAACAAGAATTGAATGAAATGCTATGATAAAGATATTCTTGTTGGATTCAAAATGAACATTACAGCTTTAAGAATGGCCTTAGAAAATATTTATAAGCGCCCTATAAGTCGACGAGGTCTAAGAGTGTATGATTTGAAAACCTAAAAATTTGATTCTGACTAAATAGGAGAAATTCTAGGATTAACTCATGAAAGTTTTGTCCTTCAAGGAAAATGGATTTGCTGTATTGGTCGCTTAATAAGACCATATTCAAATGATTTTATGCTTCATTTGATGAAATTACACTAAAAACAGGTTTCTTACTGCTAGACCCCCACTGCTAACGGCAAATTTTTGCCTCTTTTCGTGGTTTTGTGCTGAAAGGAAGCTGAATTGTTACGGTAGATTGTGCCGGTGTAATATGCATTTTGGTACCCTATGCAAAAGTGTAACATTGTGAAACACAATGTGTTTCAGATCGTGTGATTTCATCATTATGCGATGTTTTGACACGTTTTTAAGAGTTTAATATTTATACTTTTCAATAGCGTAATGTTTGGAGTTGCCATTAATGGTGTACATTTTATGCATAAACTTAACAACGGAAATCACAGCACCGCTTACTATTTGCATCCCTTTTACAAATATAGTTCAACTGTTCTTTATATTCTGAACAATATGAGCCAGAACATTCGACCGTTTTGCATGCTAAGTTCCACCAATCGTTTTGGTACTCTATTGTTTAAGTGCATGGGTACGTTTTTGCATAACCAAAATTGTCATACGTTTGTGTGCCCGGACCGTTTTGCATGCTAAGTTCCACCATTCAATTTGGTACCCTATTGTTTCAATGCTTGGGTACGTTTTTGCATGACCAAAATTATCATACGTTTGTGTACCCAGACCGTTTTGAATGCTAAATTCCACCATTCGTTTTGGTACCCTGTTGTTTAAGTGCATGGGTGAAATTAGTGCTAGAAACCATTTTAAATGACTTTCTGCTTATTTGGGTGAAATTACACTAACAACTGGTTGCTAAAATGAGTTGTTAGACCCGCCGCGAACATGTATCTATTGCCTATTGATAATCTTAATAATCGAGGAACTACTCATTGGGTTGATTCTATTAGGAATTTTGCAAGTATCGGTATCTGGAGCCAGCAAGTAATTAAGTTTGGGTTTACTTTTCTAAAAGGATTTACTGAATTATAATCAAGGTATTAGTGCATTTTCTTCATACACGAAATTGCTCTATCTCAATAGGGTTTTGCTGATAGTAAATAATACTTTGTCCTCGAGCAATTATTTCCTACTCTTGCCAATAGTATATGCTATTCACAGTAGGCGTGACTATGGATTGGATTAGTTATGTTTGTCTTTTGACGTGTTTAGAATGTACTTGCCTCCTTGCTGTATGATATTACACTTTTTGCTTGCATTCCTTATTAAATTGAAAGAATGTAGGAGGGCATTGTTTTTTTATTTTGATTTTCAGGATAGATTCAATTTTAATTTGATTTGTCAGAGGAGTAAACAGATAAGTAAAGTTGAGAAGTCTTACCATGAAATTTTATGGAAAGTTAAAACAGGAGACTTAGGGGGTAACCCATTAAAATATTCAAACGAGGAACACTAATAGACCTGGGCTTGCAAATGTTTTGAAGCAACTTTCGATTAACGGAAGACTAGCTCCCCTACGAAGACCGCTAAGCGGGCTTGCCAGTCACCCTACGGTAGGGTACTATCGCTAGGAAGGGGGGAGCCTCTACCCCTTATCTATTTCAGGCGACCCCCTGTCTAGCGATAGTCAGAGGAGTGTGAGTAATCTTTTATCACGTGACCTGTACGGAGCCAATTTTTTTCAAATCAAGGTTGATACACCTCTTGTGTTTTCCAAGGCTAATCTGCATACTCATTGGGGGCTTCGACAGAATTCTTGTCTTTTCGAGGCTAATTTTACTACCATTCACAGGGGGTTTTAAGAAAATTCTTGTCTTTTCCGAGGCTCATCTATGTACCCTAAAGTAGGGTCACTGGCAAGCCCGCGTAGCAGGCTTTGTAGGGGAGCTAGTCTATATGCTAAATGGTAAATATTGTTTTCAAATTCCATCTTCAAACTGCTTTAGGTGAGCAATTTTTCAGTCCTTGTTTTTGTGTTATGTGTTTGTTTTAGATATTTTTTGAATTATATTATCCACAGCGACCCAAAAAGTCAAGTACTGTAAGTATAATTGTCAATTTCATGTGAAAACAGATAAATCTGCTATTGCCATTTTAAAGTGTTTTAGAGGATTTATACAGCACTTGGTAGAGATTCAATGCATCACACAGATTAAATAAATGAATGATAGAGAAAATGTATCAACCAAACACAAAAGAAGTAACCATCATATTAAAGATGGCAGTGGCATTTGTGATTTGCATGCAACTTAAGAGGAATGGACAAAGGTTAAAAGCTGGCCTAGGCCATGAGAAAAATATTATCTACATGATAGCTTCACAATGTGCTTTTTCATTGTTGAGCAAACAAAACATTGGGATAATTAGGTGTTTTCTCTAGCCTATTCTTAATGGCTAGGTGATATAGCAATGTCTATTCCCTTTAATTTCAAATTATTTTGAGATATTTGATGGACCAAAGGATATCAGAAATAGTAAATGTTTGTAAAGATACTAAATTTCTAAAACAGGATAACCCACTATACATATCCAAGAACCTGTTTCATGCCCTATGATGAAGCTTTCTGCAACAAAGAATTTCAAGACTCCGAAATGAAACCTTTTAATTTTAAGGCAAATGAATCAGGGTCAAGTAGCGCAATGGAACTTGATGGAGCCAAACGTTGCTTTCAGTTTATAAGGAATGCTAGTTTGACAATAACATCATTCATAAGTGATCATCACAAAGGAATTGCAAAGTGAATTCGTGAATCACAGCCTGAAACCTCCCATTTCAATGATTTGTGGCATGTCTGCAAAGGTCTCTCAAAGAAGATCTTGAAAGGCATCAAGGAAAAAGGCTTTGAAGTACTGAAATTTTGGCTCAAGGGAATACGCAAGCATCTTTATTGGTGTGCCCTTTCTACCAAGCAAGGCTTTGGTTAGTTGATTGTTGCAAAGTGGAGATCCTTGATGCGTCATACTGCAAAAAACATGATGAACATCCGAATCAGTTGTACAAAGTGTGCACATGGTGAACTTGAACACACAGGTCATGCAGGTTGATCAAACGCAGGTTAAATCGCGTGGGTCAAAAAAGTGGCCAGGGGCGTGAGGTCCTCGGCTAACAGCCGACCACGCAAAAGTGGGAATACATCAATGGTTGGATGTTGGAATTCAACAAGAATTTTGAGATCAGAAAGCGATTATCAATATCAGTAGGTAAGTTATTCACTGTTTGTGGAACCCATTTTTCCATTTAATTGCAGTTTTATTAAATGGCCCTGGAGCAAAGCATGAGTAGATCGGGAGCGTGGTTATACATGGCCAAAAAATATAATGTAAACATTATGGGCCAGTTAGCCAATACAGGCCAACAAACCAATATGAAATGGTTTGATGTGCATTTGTGCTGTGCTGTTTGGTTTTCCTTGTTAATCTGTTCATCTTTGCACCTCTTGACAAGCTGTTAATGTTTGTTATGAAAGGGTACATATATATAATTACTGCTCATTAACCATCTAATTGGGTGACCTAAAAGGTTTCTTTGGTATTGTTGCTGCATAACAGAATAAGATATGGTTAAAGTCTGCTCTTTGCATACAAGGTAGGAAACACTCAGAAAAATGAAACGATATTTCAAAACATTTTGCTTTAGTGCTGTAAGTTTGACTTTAGTCAATTAAAATACTTAATGATGGCAAAACAAAGCCATAGGAAAAACAAGACTAATATGTATTTCATTGATGCTAGTTTCAATTCTCCAGAGGTACACTAAAATACATTGCAGTGTTTCTACACCTGTTAAAGTTATAGCCACCTGAACAAGATGACTAACTATTGATTTCACGTATATTGTCAATTTTTTGATTCATTCAAACTCATGCAATTCAGCATGATATTTACAATTTATTGAATACAATAATTATTGCTTGTATTGGTTACTTTCCCTAATTGTGGTGTTGCATTGGAAGCCAAAAAACTTAAAATTGAACTAGACAAAATAAGTGGTCAGTATCAAATTTTGTAACTTTTATATTTTTACAAAGAAATAATGATAAAAATTGTTAAAACAATAGTTTTTTAAAAATTCCTTAATGACCCTCCAGTATACTCCTATAATTAATATTTCAAGAAGCCTCATTTGATTACCACCATCTATAAAGAGAAACAGTTATAATTGAATTTTTTCTATCAATTTACATTCTTTAGGACTAACATTACAGAACACACACAATATTTATCTTTGTCTGTTACAAATGGTTGATAGTTACTTAAAAGAATTTTATATTTTAGTTGAACAGCTAGACAATATTGGAGATCAGGGCAATATCAACAAAGTTGGGAAAGAGGATGAACAAGCAGACAAATCAATGGAAGTTTTTTCATGTGATGATGATTCAGATGATGGTAATGATGAGGTTGATGATTGTGATGATGATTATGATATAGAAGAAGGTATGGATTCTGAAGATGATGTTTTCGAGTTTACAGCTAGGTCAGAAAAAAACAAAAAGTTTACCATTTTGATATGATGAAGGATAGAACTTGCTGTTTTACAAACAGAGGTGAATCAGATACATTTCGAGCTGAAGCTTGCAAAGTTTTATTTTGAGACTCCCAATTAACTACCTGGAGAATAAAAGCCTTGTATATGAATACTCATATCTTGTTATTTTGCAGTGAAATTGAAACAGATGTCAGGAGGCATCCAAAGTACATTGTTTTCTTGATGCAAATCCTTCTCCTTTTCAAATTTTGCCCTGTTTGCAAGGAAGATTACCCACAAATCCGTTCAAGAGAAGTTGGAACAATGTTAGAGGTAAAAACAATATGCAAAAATGTTCTCTGCCCTAGAAGGAACAATGTTTGGAGAAGCCAACCAGAGATTAGTGGAACAAACATTCCAGCTGTAAACCTGTTGTTGTGTTTTGCTATTCTTGTTGCTGGTGGATCAGCCAGTAAAGTTTTTAGAGTCTTTTCCCGAATGGGACTTGCGTGTATCTCACTGTATACATTCTTTAAGCATCAGAAAGTGAGCATTATAAATAATTATGGATGGTCAAAATTAATCATTTTTCTTTTCCATGATAAATTATTCTATAGCAGGAAGCTCTTAAGCTCATCACAGCAGAGATAAAGTGAAGATAAAGAAACAATTCCTTATACCCATTCTCACAAGAACTTCAAGTTCAACTTCAAGTTTTATCAATTTGTTGTGGAACTATCCATTATAACATTTGGAAAATACAATTTGATATCCAAATTCTTCAAATTCAATCAGATGAATGATGAAAACAATTTATACTTCCTATCATTGTAGGTACTTAAATTATTTTATGTTTAACAGCGTAATGAAGTTGGTAACAGTGCTGGTATGGAGTTTGAAGGTTTCAAGCGCTGCATGGCATTTCTCCAAAGAGGAAATCTTGAGCCTTCGACATTCACATCAGACAGACACCTTTCAATCACAAAACATATGAGGGAACAGCTTCCTAACATCAGACATTACTTTGATCTTTGGCATTTGAAAAAAAGCAAGTAAATTTATTATTTCTTCTCTAGAGGAAAATATCAAGAGTAAAGTATGAAAGCTGACATTGTTTCGTCAGTCCTTGAAGATACTTTTTACTATGAATGCTATTTAAAACTATACAATATTTTCATGTTTTTACCTTTTACTAACATTATGACCTTCTCCATATAATACTTGCTTTTATAATCATATCTAACACTAAATGTGGTGATTTTCTGGCGATAAGCTTCTAAAAAGCCATTGAGTTAAAATTGTATAAGGGGATGAAATTATGTTAGTAAAACGTTGTTCTTAAATTACAGAAATTCGAAAAGTACTTCTGAAAATCACCAAAAATAAAAACTGTGGTGAACTATCTGATTGGATAAAACCCTGTGAAAATCACTTGTATTGGAGTGCTACCTCGACACCTAGTGGAAATGGGGAAATTATTTGGGCAAAATTTTCATCATTCGTACACCACATTGTCAATGAACACCAGCAGTTCGAGAACCAACTGTTCCATAAATGTGCCCACAATGAAGAGATAGAAGATCGAAAATGGTTGACTAAAGGTACCTTTCAGAAAATATAACTTCAAGGAAATTTTCTGTGAACATGGGAGAAATTGGATCTTTTCAAAATTTTCCAAAGTCAGAATAAACCCATCATCCAAAAATAGCCATCAAATGCAAAAATTCCATTGTCATCAAAATTTAAAATATCTTGTCACTCGTTGGTATTTTTTGTTATTCTCAGATTCTGAAGGTCATGTGAAGCTCAAACAGGCTCTTTCAAAAAGTCTTTTCAGAGTGGAGTCAAGCAAGCTTCTCCTCTTTCACAAACAAGCTGCCTGGAAGGGTTCCACTCAGTTTTCAACCACTTTGCACCAAAAATAACATCTTTCAGCTTTACTGGAATGATCATACGGTAAAAATCTATGGAAAATTTGCGTCTCCCGTTTCAAACATCGAACTTAATATGTTGCGCCAAATGGGTTAGGGTTAGGGTTAGGGTTAGGGTTAGGGTTAGGGTTAGGGTTAGGATTCCACTCAGTTGTCAACAACTACAAAAATGACATCTTTCAGCTTTACTGGAATGATAATACAGTAAAAATCTATGGAAAATTTGCACAGAGTGCAAATTTTAAGTTTGAAATTCAGAATTGTCCATTTAAAAAGTTTTCTGTTTAGGTTACTTTTCAAAAATATGCCTTATTGTAAAGTGTTTTATGTTTTTCCACAGACATATTTTGGCAGCTACACACTTTAACAGGAACCTCAAACGTGAACTGAGAACTTCTATTGTCACCGGTTTACCACAAGTGAAAATTGTGTATCCAAAATTTAAAAATTGTATTGCAACTGTGAGGGATGTCCGTGTTAAGCAGAACTTTGGTAAATACAGATTAATTTTTTTATTTCTTGAAAAGCAAATATAAACAAAAGTTTTCCTATTTAAAAATACATAGATTTACTTTGATTCAAATTTTGAAGAGGCTAAGGCAAACAAAATGAGGTCTAATGCCCTTTTTAAAAAAAATAAATACTTCAAGAAATTCAATTTGTGAATCACTCCTGACTCGGATGTTACTATCAGTTGTTTTAATTTAATTTTTTATAAAATGTAGATTATGTAACTGAGATATTCAAAACTCTTCTGGACTCCATCATTGATGGGTCGCTAGAGGGAACCAGCATGGCGCTAAAAGAGATGGTGCCACCTCCAATGCACGATGTGTTTGAAAAAGAAAGCAGCACGATTGCTGTTGAAAAGCATTTTGCAAGGAAGGCAATGGTATCAGTTGAAGTTCCTCCAACAAAACAAGGTTCGTAAAAAAGGAATTGCAACTGTTAGCCCATATAAATGACTAGTTCATGTAAATGACACTTTTCAATTTCAGATAAAAATTTTTCTCAAAATGCATTTTTCTAGCATAAGAAAAGTTCAAATGTGGCACCAATTCCTATTTGAGAAACCTATTCTTGCATTTTATTGTATCAAAACACACTCGAACTCAAGAGTTCGATTACAAATTGTTCTTTATCGTTCAATATTCGAATCTGTAGACAACATAACCAGGGAAGTAGCTAATGGTGAATGTGATATTCCCAATTTTTCTTGACTTTGTTGATAAATCTTCATTTTTTTGTAATTTCCTTAGTCAATCGGAATGTAAAATAGCACTTAATTTGGTCTCTTTCACAAGCTGAGGAGGTTTCTATTTACAATTTTATTCTGATTTTAGTGGAGGAGATACAGCAGCAGATGGAGCAACAGCAAACAAGCCTCCAAAAGGATGTTCGCAGATGCAGACTATGCAAAAATCCATTAAAAGGCCATAAAAATGTCATTAACTGCCCAAAAAATAACTGAACCAATTTTCAGGACTCACTGTGAGTTGGCCCACATCGTTAAGCTAACCATTTCTATTTAGATATCATTTTCAAGTTTATACCAAATCCCGGTTGAGGTTTACTTGTGTACCACATTTTATTTGTAAATTATCATTGTAAGCCTTTTCAGTCTGCAACCTTACAATATATGATTCTTATGGTTTCCATGCACCTCTAAGAAATTTGAAGGAATTAAAATAACCCATTGTTTGAAGTATCAAGTCAAATATTATTTTGTAGCATGTTTATATACATATAAAACAATTTAAGAGTGCCCACCTTCAGCAAAAAGCCAGGGGCTTTTTCATACATATAAATATGGGATGCAATATCACACCTTTTGTGATATTTTTTTCTCTAGAATGATAGACTACTTGATTAAAAAGGCTTTGCTCTCCAGCTGATGTCCTTAGAGAAAGCAGATAATAAAAACAAAGTATAATTTTTGCAGCTCAATTTATCCTTTAGTCTTCATCATCAAATCCCTTAAACTCCTCTCCTGGAAACTGTGTCCTGATTTTGTGGTAAGCACCTGCTGGAAGTGGAATACGTCTGTTTCCTAAACGTCCATGGACAAGCCTTGAAAATTCTCTATAGGCAACTGCCCTGAAGAACCTACAGAAAGAACAGAAAATTCCAGATAAAGTCACTTGTCTTGTTCTAAAGGGCAAACATTTTTGGTGATTTGTATCTAAGCACCAGTATTTAAACAACAATAGCATTTATGCAAAACAGAACACTGCATATGATTTTAAAGTTTTTTTTCTAAAATAGCAGCAAGTGTTTTGGTAAATTAAATCTTAATCTAATAGCAAATTGAACAATATAAGATTTGTCCAAGATAAAGAAAGTGATCAATAAACCCACCCATTCTCTGTACCAGTTTTCCTGTATTTGACATTTTCTTTTGTTCTATATTTGTCTGCCAAGTGTCTTAATGAACATTTTGCCAGACAAACTTCTGAAAATCCTGGATGTTGAATGATGCATCGAGGGACTTCATCAACATCATCAAACACCCTTTCATCACTAAAACACGTGGCAACAGCTTCTAGCTCTCTGCAGCACTGGCACTCCTTTGCAGTTGAAAGCTTTTCTATATGGCAGTGGCCACATGTACACCTAGATGTTCAAAAAGGTATCAATTTGGTATAAGATGAAAAACAAAATCAAAAAACAGATAGATAAAAATAGAGAATAGCAGGCTATTTCGTGTGAAACATTGCAAGAAGGTCTTAACATCAACACCCTTAACATAAAGGAATAAACATACTTTTAGTTATTTTCAATTAAAAAAATTCAAGCGAAATTGTATATGGTTTGTGTTAATGCCATGTGGAAAGAATCAACACATCCCAGTGATAAAAACAATCCTCGAGGGTAGAAAATTTGAAGCCACTAATAACGAACTTTGCCCTCTGTGCCCTTAAACAGTTGGAATTGATGATATAGTCTATTTAATATCAAATTTATTTGTGTATTAATAACTAAAAGAAATAATTATAAATGGGTCACCTAACTAGAATAATCGACTTCACGGTTGCAACGTTGGCGAGTGAGGCCTAATTAGCCAAAGGTGTACAGATTATAATGTTACTCACCATGACTGAGTCGTTAAATAACTGCTAAGTCGCATCGAAAGAATTTCGTTTCTCTGTCTCTCCTCTTCTCTCCGATTATAATACTGTTGCACCCAGTTCGCGTCCGCCATAGGTTCTCCGGTATAAGGCCTATCCATATCATCATCGTTGCTACGTGCCGCTCCTTCCCTTACAACAAATTCAAGTTCCTCATCTTCTTCCTCAAATTTACTTAAACTCGCGTTTTCAGAACGGCTTTGGTCAGTCTCAGAGTCGGAACTCATGTTTAAGTTTAAAAGACAAGTTTGTAAACGTCTATGTGTTGATCTTTAGCCCAGTGAGGGAGTTCTTGCAAAACGAGGCAGAAGTCACCATCATTCGGGATTGTACGTCATACACTCTGCTCGACCCAGTCATTTTGCGCAACATTACCCAGAATGTGGCATTTCCAAACCCCTTTCTTGAGGGTATATCAAGACTGTTATGGTTAAAAATGTTTAAAGTTGCCAAAATTAATACTTTGCCTTAATTTAAGTCAGTTTATGGAAAAATTTTGAGCTGACCGGATAGGCACTTTAACAGGATTAAACTGCAATCATGGATAATATTCCACTGATCTCTTTTGGACCTAATTTTTACCTCAAAATGAACGTTAGCTTGTTGGTGCAAGGTTTCTGCTTCTTTGTTGGTCCAATTTGGCTGCATTCCATTGTGTGCTTTTTTGTGACTGTTTTCTGGCATGTCATGCCACCTTACGTAATTGTCCTTAAGTCAGCTACTACAATCTACTGTTGACTAATGTGGTTGCAAGTTCTCAGCAGTTTTTTTACTCAAAGTATCATTTCATACACCCACTTTCTGCAATAATAATGAATGAGTCTAAGAAAATGCATCTTTGTTAAACATTTTCTTTGTTTTGTGAAAATTAATTGTACATATTGGTATTTGGTCTGAAACAATAAAATGTTGATAATTCGAATGTGAAAACTACTATCTCATGCAAATATACTGCAACAGGATTGATTGGCAATCTTTTCAGCAACATCATAAGCACTCAGATCTAGTTTCATGCGTGTGACACTGGGTGGCTGGATAATTTTTCTTGCATCTAGAAGGTCTGCTATTGATACTGATTTTGGAAATGCTGAAGAAGGGACTGGTGCCAGATGTCTTATCTTTCCTTTAGGCTGCATTGTTGATCTGTGTGGCACACTTCTAGAGTGGGACAAGGTAGATACACTATGTTTCCAACTTGGTGAACAACTTATTTGGCTATCTAATGCAACATCTCTTCCAAAGCTATGAATCTTTTGTGCTCTGGTATCGACAGCCATAACACTATTATGTAACACCTAAATCCCTTTATGTACCGCCTCTAATTCACCTTTTGTATACCCTCACACATTATGTAACACCTTCTGTACCGTATTATCTATTTATCGAGGAATATTCCAGTGTATCAACATCTCCTGAAGAGTGAGTTACTCACGAAACAGGCTTGTAGAGATAAACCATGTAGTCTTATTTTCTTCAACTCTATGATATATATATTTATATAGATATTTAGAAAAAACACTATCGCTTAAATGTTTTGCCTGTATAACACTGATCCATATATCTATATGAAAGAAAATGAACAGTATAGAATGCCTATGCTGATACACGCCTCTTTAAAGTGTGTACAGTACTCCAATAGCATATTGGCTGCCAGATCTCGTTCAGCACATGGCTGTGGAACAACGCCCAGTACAGCAAGGCTGTGGTTGGTAAAACACCGTTTTTTCTTAGTTTTCTGACAAGCTGAGCTTGTTATTTGTATGGTTTTAAACAAACATTGCTGCATTGGTGGAACGCAAGATCTCCGCGGGAGAACGCTTTAGGCTTGTCTACTGCGGTGCCCTCATCGGTCATGTTTGCCATTCGTACATTATCACTGTGGATGCCTGACATGACAATAACCACAAGATCCATCAATCATATGCTCCACAAATCAGCATACAACAACCCTTAAGCTCCACTCTCGCTTGAATCTATGCCTGCGCTTGCTAAGATAATACAAGAGTATCTACGAAATCAACACTTCATAATGGCCCGCAACTACCTTCCAAAAGACAAAAAAGACACACAGAATTCATCCACCACCAAGCAAGGTACCAAATTTCTACTTTACAAATTACAAACTATCTACATCTATAATGTTCGTTCTCCTCACGTGGTTTAGCACTCCATACCAGTATTTCATATCATACTCGTTACATATATAGCTAAAAATCATATTTGAAGTAATTTTTACCAGAATCCGCAAAGCATACACCTGTCAGTGCACATATATGCATGTACATATAAAGCAAACGCAATGTACACATAGAAAAATATATATCTGTAACTATATATCTATTACATTGGTACATTCTATAACCTATGAAACATTGCACGACCCACCTTTAGGGTATAGGCATGACCACACAGGTTTGGTTGTCCAAAAAACTATCGAGAACAAGAAGTTTTGTGTACACATCATCCAAATGGTGAAACCTCTATACAAATATTCATATGTGTGTATATATTTCTGTATATATAGAGTATTATCACACAACATATCTCATAACATTGTTATACCTTTACTTCCACAGCTAACACAAAATAACTTCTCAACATGGTGCTGGAAACCACCAGCAAGGACGAACCCATCAAAGGTGCCAAACGCACACCCGAGAACACCAGGCACGGCCTCTCTGGTTATAAGATACCAAAAAAAAAACAACTGTCCTCCACCCCTCTCAAAAAGAGGGCTGAAAAAACACTCCCCAGCCAGCATAATGGTGGGGAACACCAAGAGCAGAACGGCAAATTGATTGCTCTTACATCTAACAGCCTGGCAAGTAGCTTCTACCACCAGGAATTTCAGCAACACACAGAGAAAGGTCGATATCCGACTTTCTCTACCCAGGGGTCAACGCCTATTACAGAAGTGACTTCTCGTCGGATTTGCAAAAACAAGAGGCTTGTTGCACGTTCCCAAAGACCATGTGCAACATACTGGCCTCTCATCACGAATCAATGAGGTCATCGCAATATGATCTCACACAAAACTATAAAAAACATGGCCCGAAAAAGATATCCCGGTGCGTACGTTGGTATTGTATCGAGAGCAGAAACGCTAACTATGGACAAACACATAAAATACAAAGGAACCAGAGAGGGCCAAACACCAGGCAACAAGCGGAAACGTGAACGTCGTTGAACAATTTTGGATTTACATAAAAATATACATAAAATTTTATTTACAACGATACTATCAAACCTCATTTACATTGTCTTCTATTGTCCTGGTTGCATACAGGATCCGACGGTACACGTAAATTTACGAATCAACATACCAAAACACGCCTTGGAAAGATTTTAGGCCAAAATAAGAAACAGCGTGTGAAAGCAAAAAAAAAAAATCATCAGCACGCAAATACCTTTTAAGCAAAATACAACAATCTCACAATATGCAATATAGCAATATTGTCAATCTGAGTGATTTGAAATTTAACTCATTACAGAAAAAAGTCTTAAATAAAGGCTTAAACTTCGTAGTCACACCAAAAAATGTAAATATACATACAACATTACAGTTGTTTAATGAATTCCAAAGACAAATGCTCTACTGCTAGGACAACAAAAAGGATACAACTGCCTTTCCATTTAGTGGGAAATCCAGTTGGGAACCTGAATCTGTTCGAAACCCCAACATTTACACGTATCTTGATAACAGACATCCAGACGTTTTAAACTTATACACATAAAACTACCATAACCCTCCAAATATTTCAAGAGGAGCAAGAGGCCATTTGTGGCCTGAAACAAATATAGAATATTTCAATAAAAAATGCCGACAAAGAAGGCAAAATTGTACTATGGCTTATACTATGGTACGATTGGTACTCATCTATGAATCACAGCGAAGCCAGTTCTATTTTTCTCTTCTGAGAACATTTCCAGGGTGCTCTTTTTTGCTATGCATTGGGCAAGAAAAATGTTTGTTAATAAAATCTCAAAGCATATCCAAATCGACTAATCATAAAGAGTACATTTAAGACCTGGAGTTAGATGCTCAACCTGTCAAGATAATGTCTCCTTTTGCACAAGTAGAAGGTCTAAAGATAGAACAATTGAAATCAATTGCAGGTCTCTACTTGCCACAAATACATTGAATGAAGGGAATAAGGCAGGCACTTCCAAAATTTTGTGGAATAAGGAACCTTCCTTACCCAATTTCTTTTAAGTTATTTAATCACAATCTAAGGAAGGTGTGAGCAGCAGGTCTACTTTGCACAAGCTTTGCCTACCACAGATGCTTTGTGCCACACAAAGCAACGGATATATTAGATATGCTGTCTGACCCTACAAATGTGCTTTACTCTCATTTCATCTCCCCAATCAAAAAAGAGTTACTGCAATAAAATTGGTTTTTGAAGCCACAGATGCCAATCCAAAGGGTAATAATCCAGAAGCTTACATTGCACCATGAAAGCTGGCAATATAGACCTTTGATAGACAGAGAGAAGGCACTGATGCCAATTCAGAGGATATGGTCCAGGAGCTTACATTGCATCACAAAAGCTTGCTAGACAGACTTTTTGACAGACAGAGAGAATAAGTGCCAATTGATAAAGGTGACCTTGGAGCAGAGATAATTCATGAGTTATTCATATACTGATGCCAGTTCAATTGAATCTACAGGCAAAGTCAATGAAATGCAACAAATTTGTAGCGATATGGATACATAGGTTTTGAATCAAGTTAAGAAACATCTTCTAAAGTCCATTGCCAACATTGAAGGTCTGAGCGACCTTTCAACATGCACGATCCGAACCCAAACATCACGATTTGTCTTCAAAGATTTTACAGTGACGCACCTTCTAGCTGTCAAACAAGTTGACATTGAGCAACAGTTCAGGAGAATATTACATCTTTGCTTGAACAAAGAGTCTGTATTTAGTGGTAGGATCCGAACCGATACAATGAAATTTTGGTCAGGAGTATTTATGTATTGTCCTGTGTTTTGACTCCAGTCAGCAATCCTGTGGTTGAAGGGGTTTTTCAACTGTCACAAATGTGAAGACCAAAGTGCAAAATGGCCTTGGTTCTGAAATGCTTGATACAATCATTCGGATTGGTACTCATCTTCAGTTCCTAAGAAAGTGCTGTAAAGATTCACAGTTACTAAGAACATGTTTGAGCCCTCCACTTGGCAGAACATGTACCCAAATGCAGATGCTGAGGAAGATATAGACTAAATAAGAGAAAATGACGAAATAAAGCTTTCAAAAGCAGAAAAAGATATGTAGAAAAATCAAAAGAACCATTGTCATCATTGGAGACTCCATGTTAAAAGATAACCAGCCCAATAAGCTTGCCAAAACATTAAATGCACAGGTGAACAAAATCAGTATCAATAGAATGGGATCAACCAAACTAAAAGATTAATTGCAACAGCTTATCTAAAATGCCACCTGCAATCATTATGCACTGTGGGATAAATGACCTGATGCAATCTGTACCACTGCAAAACATTTATCAAAATATCGATTCTCAGCAATGTAAAAGGTGTGATTTTTATTGATGGTGTGATGTAAATCTTAATTATAATTATAATTAAGATTTAATTATAATTATAATTATAATATTATCTTAATTATAAGCCATAACTGTTAAAGTATAATTTTTTGCTGTGAAAGCCAATATTTATGTTCATTAAATGAGGACATATTGTTCTACTAATTCCACGCTGTGGCAGTCGCTTGTGCGCATAGAGATGTGGACGAGGAATTCCCACAAGAGTCTCATGTAGGCACCCCATACCTACAAAAGGCTCTAACAGATCAGTAAAAACTCAAGCATTTGTGAATGGAAGAAGCTTAAGTGATTATTACCCTTTTTGCTGTTATGTTTCATTAATATATGTTTGCATTTACAGTTCATTTTATGTTTTTCAGTATCATCCCCTAGTAGCAACAACACTAGAATTGATTTTGATGTATAACAGGCTTCTAGTTAATATTGCAATAGTAGTTGTTATAGATATGTAAGATAATACCAATTAGATTATACATATGTATATTATGAAAGTTTTATTCACGTCCCTAGTTACTTATAATTGCTATATTTGCACTCTTGCTTCACTAAAAACTTCTAATTCATTTTAGAAATTCAAGCTTCAAATATGGTAGAAAAAGGGGTCCAATGTAACCTGATTTGGTTTGACTCTTGAACCCCCGTTAAAAGCGATGATGAGGATGATGTAGAAAATTATGGAATTAATGATCCAACATACAATCCAGAAGATGTTACAACGGATATTTCACACAATGATAGCTTAATGGATATAAAAGAAGGGTGGGTGTGTTTCTGTCTGTGTGCGTGTGTCTGTCTGTCAGTCTGTTTTTGGGTCTGTTTGTATGTGTGGTTTTATCCACTTCTAATATATGTATGATCATCATACTGAACTTACAAAAACAATGTAGATATTATCTTAAAGTGCATATAACCCTAAATGAGATTAAATCGTTTTCAGTTAAACTGAATACGCTGAATTTGAAAATGAATATTAAATTGCAATGTTGTCATTCTGCCAAAGGAATTTCCTTGCACAAGATACCATTTTTTGGGGATGATAGGCCAGTGGCCAAGCGAAGAAGAAGGCAATGGATTGCCTTTGTACAGAGGCGAAGGGCTCATTGGTGTGCAATAAAATCCTCCGTAATATGCTCTGCTAATTTTAAGCCAGAAGATTATGAAAGAAGGATGACCAATCTTTCGGGTTTTGGGTCCATGAAAGTTTATTTAAAAGAGGACGAAATCGGCGTTGTTCCGGTACCATCTGTTTACCCCGTTGTAAAAGAGCAAGAAGAAGGAGACTGTCCTAAAACCAGTAGCAGGCAACGGCGAATGGTAAGACTAGATCATTTCTACTGTGAGTAACATATTCCGCCAGTCACATTCATTTTTTTATTATACACAGTAGCTCGACTGACTAAACAATAAATCTACCTTCAGTTTAAACTCCAAGGCCCCCCAGAAAAATTATACTGGTATTCTTAATGTAATAAACGAGAACAAGGTTCGGGCCTTCATGATATTGCAGCCTTATATCTAGGGGTCACTAAGCTGTATTTTTTGGAAATTGAAAAACAAATTTTCTTGACTCAATTTTCCCCCAATTTTCATTAGTGTTTTTTCGAAAACTTTTATTTACCTTTAATTGTTTTATTTTTGAAGTTGTTTCCGTGTGATATAGAATTATGCTAATAACCTGAATAGGTTAATTTCAATTTAATTGCCTGCTAGAATTTTAGTCTAGAAAAGGTTCGAAACAAATTTTTGTTTAAGTGCAACTGACTAAGTTTTCATAAGTTACTAAATTTTTGCCTGACATGAATTTTCCTCTAAATTGTGATCACACCCTTTCAGATGCTGGCTGAAGTCATTGGCTTATTGCAGATTTTCAATTTTTCTGAGAGACCAACTTTTGCTTTTCGGGGGTACTGCCCCCTTCTATGCTAGCGATGGTCTTTCCAGAGCTATATTGACTTGTATATTTATCAATTTTAGGATGCAAATGATACATACCTTTTGATCTGGATTGGGAATGGAGGGTTGAGGGTAGCAGAAGTTAAAACTAGTATCTAAGTAAAGCCAAGGATTATTTTAAGGTTTCACTATCACATAATGATGTCAAAGCAATACTTTATATTGTAGACTATAAAAGCTGCTCAAGAAACTGATGTTTCAGAAATTGTAAATGCAGACATTGAGTTTTCTGCAGAGGAATTTGCTGCAGAGGAATTTGCTGCAGAGTTTATACAGTACCACACAGAGCTGGTATGTTATAGGATTTAACTGGTTTGAATCACTGATCTAAAAAAAACTGGATCGCGCATCCTATTGTTCTCAAACCTTAGAAAGTGTGGCCGGCGAACTTGCGCCATGCGCTTGTGACCACTTCAGCGGGAAATTGAATGGCTAGGACGCTGGGGTATAAGGTATTCGCTGCATTTATTTTGGCTGTAAGAAATGCGAAATAGGGAACTGACGATGAAAAGGGAATAAATGACAACAAGGACCATGAGAATCAAGGATTGCAAATAAAAAGGAAGCTATGCTCCACTTTTTCACAGTGAGTACACTACTATTTTTATTTTAGTAGGCCAAGATCGTTGTATTTCGAAGGAACAGTTATGCCCCCTTTAAACTGGGTTTTCACGAGTCTGGACCATTTCAAATCCTTTTGCTAAAAGGATCAAAAGTGATACAGCTAGCCGTATCAGTTTTGCTACGGAAAGCTTGGAGTGGTGTAAACGGGAGGCCAATCCATATCACTTTTGATACGGATCAAAAAGTCATTTGTGGCAGTGTAAACGGGGCCTTAGTTTCCCAAATAGATTGCTACAGTCGGTTAATTTGAAGTAGGTAGCTATTTGGAAATTTTTGCCTGGTTTTAGGTACCCAAATAGATTGCTATAGTTAATGTTTATGAATTAAGTAATAATTTTTTACATGGCACTAGGCCTAATCTTTGTGTTTCCCCATGATAATAGATACACGAAAAATACTTTTATATTTTTATTTTCTAGGTAGAGCAACTTGTGTGCATCTTTGACTTGGTGGATTGACAAAGACATGTGCCTTCACCACTTGTTTTGAAATGAAATAAACATCTGTTTGTAAAACCATAAAGGTTTGCCATTTTTAAGTTTTGGAAAGGAACCAATCACTGAGATGTTATGATGTGACTAAGCAATGGAAGTTGTTGCTAGCAGCTGAATGTTACTAAAGCAAAACAAACTGTAATATTCATAACATTAATTTTGGAGTGGAAACAGTAATTTTGATTGTTTCAGGAGGTTCTTTAAAAATTTTACAAATTCAAATGTTTGCTAAAAAATTGTGTATATGTTTAGAACATTTAGCAGTAAAATAAATTTATTTTGTGAGCTTTATGCAGTTATCTATGATTATTTCTGGAACGAAATTACCAATGTAATCAAATGTTTTGCTGTAGTAAGCCTTTTTATGAACCGTATTAGTCTTCAGTTCATAAAAGTGTTGTCACTCATAGCTTTTGTCTCAGGGCTGAAGGATTTATCTCTCAAATATGAAGGATTTATCTCTCAATATCTCTCAAAGAGCTGTATACATAACAAATTCAAAAAACTCAAATTTTTAAATCACAATCTTAAAATTCATTTGAAACAAAGTCACAATCTTTTAATTACTATTCATTGTACTATCTGTTACTTATTAAGTTCTAGCTCAGTAAACTATATATGATTGTATCCCTCAATAGCTGTCAAGCCATTCCATTGCACTTTATTCTGTAAAATAAAGAAATGCTTTGTCAGAGGTAATATTCAAATTTTGATTCAAAAGTACAACCAGGCATATTCTTTAAGGCTTATTTTTCAGAGGAATATGATACCACTCTTCAATTAGTCCTAAGTCACACAAGTCACAAACATAGTACAAGCGGTGATTCACTTGAAAGTAAGCATGTTTCATATCACATCATTTCAATGTAAAATGTATTGCTTAAACAATGTAGAGGGGCACAAAAATTTAGAGGTTTGAAATCACGGCTAGACTTCTTTGGAAAGAGCAGCTACACAAATTAAACATATTTTCTATCTACAAGAAACTCAGTACTACACTGGGGTTGCTTAGAAGCTCCCAATATGTTTTTGGGGGTTATATCCTATCAGAGAAACAACTAAAATCAACTTTAACATATAAAAGCTACTTATATTCTATGTAATTATCGCTGCTACGTGGCTTTTTCATGGCAATTTACAGCTCTAATTTGATCAAATAAGTAAAAGGTAGCTAGCTAGTCAATTAGTCACTTGCCTGCTGATTCGAATAAATATTTTTGCATCGTTGGACTCTCTGTGGAGACTTGAGTTTAGCGAACAGTTTAATTACTGTTTTTGACTGCCAACAACGAAAGACAAATGTTTATTTAGATTTACCTTAGTTTGATTTCTGTCTTCGAGTTTCAATCCACCTACTAATAATAGGTCTAAAAGCGTAGGCTATCCGTAAAGCAACGAGAAATAGAGAACCAAAATGCCTTACCCTCCATAAAATGGAGCATTTAATAATTTGATGGTCCTTTACGCTCATATATATTAAGATTTACCCACCTTTGCCACTATTTGTCGACAGAAACT